CGAACGGGGCAGCCCCGAGGAGGCTGCGGCCTGTGCTGACAGGGCAGATGCAGCGGGAGGGAAAAGCCTACGTAAGACACAAAAAAAGGGGGAAAAAAGGAAGGTGGCAAGCGTGCTGAAAGTTGCGCGGCCGCTCTGAACTTCAAAATAGTCAGTCTATGGGCTGACTGCTCCAGAAATTCTTGTACATCCCTGGAATATGTAGGATATCGCCTTATTTGGTAAGACATCATCTTGTCTTCTAGACAACAAGAACCAAAAGCCGGAGACGTCTGGCAATTTCTGTGCTCTTCTCTTTCTAGTTTCTGAGGAAAAGCGAAGAACTTTCCTCTGACAACTGTCAATTACCAGAATACGAGCAGAATAAATCCAGTGAAGCAAGTCCACAAATGATGCAAAATAAACTAGGCCGCAAGAGGATGCTGTATTTCATGCATTTATCTTTGCAAGATAAAGTTAAAATACAGAATGAGGCTACTAGGGTGACAACAAACTAGTTTCTGCCACCGTTTTGTGGTTAATCTGCAACCAAGCCCCTTTGTCCATGGGTAAATAACTGTTGTCAGTTGGTCTTCTTGGCAGGTAACTATTCGTTTGTGCTGTAGTACAGCAAAAGGGATATCCCGCCGCAAGCTAACCAGTTACGCCTCCGGTTCAAAGTTGTACGCAAGTGACACCCATAATTAAAAGAAGTATAAAAAGACACGAGAAGGAAAGATTCCAGCCGTTTCCATTTTGTTTGCTCTGTGAACCTGACGGTTCTTTGGGTGAACAAGGTATTAAAAATTAACTGACACCGTTTCATCCTGCTTAGGTGTGAGCAACTTCTGTTGGCGGTCCTTGTCTTCATCAACGTGAGTTGGGGTAGCAGGACCCGTTATTTACATTGCTTTCTAGCACAGCTGACTATAACAGAATATATGGTAGAAATGTTTCCTTGTTCGTGTAGGAAGGCAGACAGCTTCCCACGGTACTCCAAACAGCAGCAGAGGACAGACGACTCTTAAAACCATGTTAATTACCAGAAGTGGCAGGCCTGAAGAGCATCTGATGTTACTTTTCATTATTGATTCACTTTGGGGCAGGGACTGTGCCTGTCTGCTGGGCTGAATGAAGGCAGAGGTCCACGTTGACGTGGGTTTGCACTGTATCTCTGAATAAGCCCACCAGCTCTCTCTGAACTGCTGGTGACTCCGGAGCAATGCCCGTGTGGCATTGTGTGCAATGCCCGTGTGGCCCGTGTGACCCTCCTAAGCAGGGTCACGTGTGGGGGGCTGTGCTGACCCAAGGGTAATTTAATTTCTCTGTTTCAGGAGGAGGCGAGTCTGAGGGAGTTGCTGATTTGCAGGGTTGCTCCGTGCCCCAGCTGCACCCTCGGGACAGCCCAGCTCTGTCCGTTCCTACGATGGACCAGGGAACTCAGGGGACTCTCTGGGAAGCTACAGCCAGACCCTGCCTGCAAACCGCCCTCCAGAGCTCCCCTTCCCATGGCCCCCCAAAGTGTGCGTTAGGGCTCCTGGCAGATGAGAAGATGGTGAACGCCATGCCTAACCTGCTCCCGGGAAGCAAAACTTCCCTACCCCTTTCCTTACGTGAACTAGATCTCACGTGGACAGTGCTGCTCGGCTCTGAAGTATTATAGCTCTTGTTAAAATGAAGCGAGCTGGCAAGACTGGCATGGGGGCCAGTCTTTTGCAAGTGGTCAAGCTCTCACTGTCTTCAAAGAAAACTTAAATTTCCTGAGGTTGGCGTAACTTCTAATTAATAAACAGCTTCTGTGGAAACCTTTTTACTCTGGAAACATTAAGACGGACAAAAAGGGTAATGATGGAGGTCCTGCTGTAAAGAAACCTTTTCCTCCCATGTGTGATGACTGCCCTGCAGATCTCTCTTTGGAAAGGGGGAAGGGTAGGCTTGAATGTTGTTCTGCTTTGTTTTTTAAAGACAGGGCTGTAATCAGCCTTTGCTAATCTATTTGCAACTGTAATATGAGAGGGCAGTCCATCACAGCACCACCTGCAGAAACTGAGCTCACCTGAGCAGGGGATCTTGGACACATGCTTGGCCCTCGGGGTCCTGCCACCATTGCACCACCACCGGCTGTTGGTCTGTAAGATATGTGATTCTGATACAGAAAATCAAAAAGGTGATTGCATAGGGAATGCATATGACGCAGGGAGTCCTTTTATTCCTTAATCCAACCAAATACAAAACCCACATGCAACACGTCTTAACTTCAAAATGTCTTTGGAAAACCCAACATGAGATTCCTGCTCTTGGAAATAGATTCCAGTATGCTTCTGTACATGGCTCTCTCTCTAAAGAGCCACAAATCAAGCCCAACATACATTTCCACAAAAAACAACAGAGGAAAATACTACCACGTCCAATTTTATGCAGTGGTTCTGATGGTATTTAATCAATGTTGGCCTTCACCTGGACTGAAAAGAAGCGCAAGTAAGGAAACTCGGGAAAAGAGTGCAGTGTTGGGGCCCTCTCACCACTGTTACTGCCCTAAGGGTGAAAATGCAGACACTGGGAATGGCAAAAAAAAAAATTCCTGCCAAAGATAACCTTGTTTCTTTGCTGGCTCCTGCCCATATGAGTGCGGGTGTGCCCAGCTGCACACGCATCTCATGGGACGTGGACTGGCGGGTGGGCTGTGGCAGGCAGGGTGTGCTCTGCAGC